TAGGGGTGGAGCCCTAGCACTTCAGGCCAAAGGGATCCAATTTCGCCTACTTGATATTCATACCAGTACCATAGAAGACCCGTTGAAGGAGCTTCACCTACTTGAGTGGCGGCCGGATATTGATCTCACCAACTTGGACCAGATGGTGCGTCAAGACCATGATCTCAGCAGCTGCCTCGAACTCGTCGAGAGACTCAACATCCTCTGTGTACTGGAAAGTACTAGGATACTCAAACACCTCGACAGCTCGCATCACCATTTCAAACGATTCAAGGAGTGGAATGAGGAATACATCCACAAGCTACAGCAAAACGGCAGTCGTGTCGTGAAAGACGTCAATCAGATCCTGGAAATGGAACCGGAGAAGCGAGCCTCTGCTATCAAAGCGCTGACGGAAGAAGCTATTGCGACACCGGCGCGGGACATTGCCCTTGCCATTGTCAGGATATTCAATGATGTGGAAGGCATCTTCACAGGAGCAGTAGAGCCTCTTGCAGTACTCTTGAAAGATAACTTGCTCATGGAAATTTACAATTTTTTCAACATGCTGGAGTACCGCGACTTTTTCCGGCTCCTAGGCCACAAGAACAGAGGAACCTTGCGAGTAGTGGAGATTGGAGCCGGGACAGGAGGCTTTACTTCTACCATCCTGCCAGCCTTAATGGACTCTGCCGGTGACCACCTGTTCAGTACCTATACCTACACCGACATATCCTCGGGCTTCTTCAAGGCTGCAAAGGAGCGCTTTGGGGAATACTCCGGTATTGAGTACACTGTTTTGGATATAAGCAAAAATCCTGCCTCACAGGGCCTGGAACTTGGCAGCTATGATCTTGTTGTTGCTGCAAACGTAATGAAAAGCCCGCCTATTGAAATTGGGAAGAGGAAGACTAACATCAAGCAGGTTCTTCATGCTACCCCAGACCTTGTTCAAACAATGAAAAACTGCCGTTCTCTTCTACGACCAGGCGGTCGATTGTTCATGTTGGAATTATGCTCCGGTAAGTCTTGACAATATTTGTGATCTTGGATGAGATGGCTAATTGTTGTATGCAGAGGCCAAATGGGTTAATTACATCATGGTAGGCCTATATAATCTTCTATGATAATGGCCCTGTTGGTTGCTAACATGTCACTATAGGGTACACTCCCTGGTTGGTGGCTTGGAGAAGCAGACGGCCGTCCAAACGAGCCGTATATACAGGGCGAACAATGGAATGTTATACTTCGAAAAGCCGGGTTTGGCAATATGACAGCCATCATGGATCAGAAGTCCCCATATCAGCTTGACAACATCATTGTTGCCAGTGCAGATGACGACGTTGCGACACCTTCCAAGGCTCTCAATCTCCTAGTGAGAGATTCCAACCAGCCGTCAGCTATTGCCAACGCATTTATGTCGGAGTTCCGCCAAGCAGGTTACGATGTCACCTTATGTTCGCTGCGGGAACAGCCAATCTCCCCTGTTGATACCGTATCGCTTCTCGACATCGACGGGCCTGGAGCATTCTTCGAGGACTTGGATGAGAAAGGGCTCCGCGGAATCATCCGATTCATTACAAACAACCGCGGACAGCAGATACTATGGCTCACAGGTCTTGCACAGGTATCAACAGAGAACCCACACCATGCCATGGTGTTGGGGCTTGCCCGCACGCTTCGCCTAGAGCTGGGTTCGCACTTCGCGACCATGGAGCTCGACATTGGCGCCGACCCGTCCCCCTTTGGCACGGTAGTAAAGGTTTTCGACCATATTCAGAGGCAGTCGAAACTAGACGTGGCGGACTGCGAGTTTGCCCTGGTCAACGGTATGGTACAAGTGCCACGGTTCTTGACTCGGACAGCCGACCAGGTCGTTCCCATTCCCGAATCCCAGGTCTTTCGAAAGCTTCACATGGGAAAGCCTGGAATACTTGCTAGCCTTCAATGGCAGGAAGGATTGCGGGACTCTAACTTGGGAGAAGGCGAGGTGGAGATCAATATCCGCTCTTCCGCTGTAACGCATCAGGTAAGCAAAGCACTGAGACAGTGTCGCAAGACTAGACTCGGTTATTCGTCACTGACCGTTTTTCCCACAGGATGTCCTCTTCGCTTCTGGCGCTGTACATGGCAAGCAAGGTCTGGGATTTGAGTGTGCCGGCGTTGTTTCCCGTACGAGCTCGAGCGGCACTGACCTTCAGGTGGGCGATCGTGTGCTCTGCTGGTCATCAGGCTCACTGGCGACCCACGCACTTGTCAACGCCAAGTGCTGCATCAAATTACCTGACAGCTTATCCTTCAATGATGCGGTTACGATGCCAACTGCGTATGCTTCCATGATCAGGGGCTTATTGGACAACAGTTCACTAGCTCCTGGGGACACAGTCCTTATTCATTCCGCTTCCAGTCCCATGGGCCTTGCCGGCATCCAGGTTGCTCGAATGCAAGGGGCAGAGGTGAGTATTCACAATGCAAATTCTGTCTACTAGTTTGTTCACTAATCGCAACACGGTAGATATTTGTGACCGCTAGAACAGAAGCCGAGAAGGAATTTCTGATAACTGAGCAAGGCATTCCGACAAGTCATGTGTTTTCATCTTCCGATGGCTCTTTTGTTGCAGAGATCATGCAAGCAACAAAAGCACGCGGTGTAGATGTTGTCGTCAATCTCCTGTCAGGAGATTTGTTGCACGAGAGCTGGAAATGCGTAGCAGAAGGCGGCAATATGATTGAGCTCTCTGGCAGAGACATCACTGGGCATGGAAAATTGGACATGACTATGTTTGGGGGAAACCGTGGATTCCACGGAATCGATATACCCGCCCTGATTGCCCAAAAGCCATCGCTAGCTGCCAGGTAGGCTTCTTTTTGCTAATACAGGGCCTTGGCGCTCTCCTTTTGAATTCATATGGCTGATCACCTACGACAGGTTTCTGAAAGTCATAATGGACCTGTATACAGGCGGGTCAATCAAGCCAATCAGCCCGATCAAAGTTCATACGCCAAACAACATCAAGCAAGCATTCCACCAACTCCACACCGACAATGACCAGATTGGTTCTGTGGCTTTAGAGTTTTCCAACGACCCACAGAGCATGATAGTAGCTGAATCGTGCAGCGACGAGATTCAGTTCCGCAAAGACCGATCCTATGTCTTGATTGGAGGCTTGGGCGGCCTGGGCAGATCTGCCGCAATCTGGCTCGCTGAAAGGGGGGCCGGCTGCATCATATTCATGTCGCGCTCTGCTTCCGCTGGTGCCGAGACCCGGTCTTTGGTACAGGAGCTCAAGTTATTGGGCTGCGAGACTCAGATTGCCACTGGAAGCGTGACAGATGCGACAGCGGTGGAGAAACTGGTAGCAAATGCAGCAATGCCCATTGCCGGGGTGCTGCATTTAGCCCTGGTCCTCAAGGTGAGTCTAACCCCTGCAATACTGAAGAAACGAATTCAACGCGAGGACTTGATACTAAGCAACACACGTAGGACGAAACACTGCTCGACATGACGTTTGACAGTTGGCGAGCCGCGACTGAGGCCAAGGTTCAAGGGACTTGGAACTTGCATCGCGCCCTAGAAGATCAGCCGTTAGAGTTCTTCGTCCTAGCCAGCTCCATCTACGGTATCCAGGGCAATCCGAACCAGGCGAACTACGCGGCAGCCAGCACCTTCCTCGATGCCTTCGTGCAGTACCGACAGAAGCTGGGCCTGCCGGCTTCGGTTATCGACCTGGGAGTCATGGGGGACGTCGGTTACGTCAGCGAGCGCCCGGCCATCTTGGAGAGCCTCAGACGTGCAGGAGCCCAGCTCCTGTGCGAGAACGACTTCCTGAGGTCCTTGCAGTTGGGAATCCGTGCCTCGTCTGCCCAAGCACCCCTACTCCCGACGGACTTGACCTCTGGCTACGTTAACCAGGCGCAATTTGTCGTTGGAATAGGTCAGCATCCTCCGGATGCTCGGGGTCTCGGGTTGAAGAGGGTGAAGGACAGCCATCAAAGCTCAGGCAATCGTGCCACCACAGAAGACAGTATGGGAGAGGATGGCGGCGATAAGCTGCGACAATTTCTGGACGGGGCGAAGCGCGACCCGAGCTCGTTGAACGACGAAACGGGAGTGACGCAATTCCTGGCGGCGCAAGTGGCCGAATGCTTGAAGGGATTGTTGATCTTTGGCGACAACTCGAGCCTGGACCTTGGGCTGGGTCTAGCAGATCTGGGGGTCGATTCGCTCGTTGCCATTGAGTTGCAGAGCTGGTGGATCCAAAGCTTCGCCACGCACATCACCATCCTAGAGTTGACCAAGAGCGCCTCCATCGTAGCATTAGGTCAGCTAGCCAGGTTTCGCATGCTAGAAACATTCCATGGGCAGACTCCAGAGCTAGTCGCGCCATGAATTCAATATATGGACGTGGCACAAAAGCGGTTTGCTCGGCGTAGAACACAGAATTTGATGCAAGGAGTCTCAGCTTATTGTCACTTTGTTGGTTCAGTGGGATTTGGCGTTTTGTGCTCTAGTACTAGGAAAATTTTATTTACTGGTTCTTTATCTTTTGCAATTTATCTACGACATAGAAAATGGAACATCAGTTTTTGGTTAATGCTTTGGTAAAAATGTACCTTATCTCGTATATCGGATGAGACTACATGATAGAAAGCATAATAGAAGTTTTGGTGAACACTGTAGCTCAATCACTCCTGGCCTTGTATGGAAGTTGTACTTGCCATTGCCTCCACTCTACAAAAGCACACGGGCACTTTTACCAATATTGGAATGCCAAGATGAAAGGTGCCCGTTGTTGGTCTATTCCATAGGGCAGGTCGACCCGAAGATGACATGTATCTATTCAATCAGGTAATCGATAACCATTTTGGTGGCTGGGGGTTGTTGAGAAGACTGTGTATCAATATCACTATTGCGTATAACTAGCAAGTTGGCAGCTGTATCTGAGCGGAGTGCCATAGTTTGAATGGAAAATAAAATGGGACAACATAAAGCATCTTGGGAAGCGTCGACCAACGGGAAGATGTCTCTGGACACGAATGGGAAAGTGTCTCTGGACACGGCCAAAGACCAAAAAACTGATTACTCAAAATGGCGGTTGATTGACGAACAGGGCCGCCAATCCTGGCGGTACCTCGAGTCTGACGAGGAGGCGGCAAAGTGGCCACAGACGACGGCTGAGAAGCATTTCCTGGGTTTGGACACTGTCAGTAGAAACCGAACCCTGTCTCTCTTTTCCACACGGTCATGATCGCAGCTTTAGATGTATCTCTTTCTGATGGCTGATACAACCTCCAGGACTTGCCAGACGTACCCAAGGCACAAACGCCGTTACAGGCTGCCCAAGGGGCCATGTCGTATTTGAGCCAACTGCAGATGGCTTCGGGACAGTGGGCGAGCGAGTGCACTGGACCCCACTTCATCCTGCCCTGTGTAATCCTGGCCGGGTATGTGACGGGCACTCCCCTTCCCGCCGGGTATGCTGTCGAGATCCAGCGGTACCTGTTTGCGAGCCAGCGTGTCGCCGACGGAGGCTGGGGGTGGCATGCTGAGGCTGACAGTAGTTCAGCCATTGCCACAGCCCTCAACTACGTCGTCCTGCGATTGCTGGGGGCGAGCAGAGACGACCCGCGCCTAGTCAGGGCACGGGAGCTGCTGCACACGTTTGGTGGAGCTACACACGTTCCGGGCATCGGCAAATTCTGGCTCTGCGTCCTAGGGGTCATGAAGTGGGAATGCGTCAATCCATTCCTACCCGAGTTGTGGTAAGTCACGTCCTGTTCTGCGCGGGTCCATACTCGAGTCCTTGTGAATGGATGCAATGCATACTGTAGCACCACAAGACATGCAACCCCTAGGCTAATCAGCGTTGGCATGTCAGGCTCTCGTCCGACTCGGATCCCGCCGCGCCGAGCAAATGGTATCTCCATACGCGGACCAACTTCACCTCCATGTCGTACGTATGGTCGAAGCAGTGGAGTTATGGCGGGGATGCCGTCACCGAGCAGCTCAAAGCCGAGCTCTACACGCGGCCGTACAACACAATCAACTTCGCGGCCCACCGCAGCTCCCTCGCCGCCGTAGATAACAACTATCCAAAATGGTGGCTCGTGAACCTCATGAACTGGCTGACCGTTGCCGTATACCTGCCGTACATGCGCAAGCCCACCACAGCATACAGTGGTGAGCGCAAAGTCTGGGACCTCATCGTGGCCGAAGACAAAAACACCGAGTACATTGGGCTCTCACCCATCAGCAAGGCCGGGAACCTCGTCGCCAGCTACATCGAGGAGGGGCCTCACGGGAGCTCAGTCCGCGCCCATCGGCAAACCATGACGCAGTACTTTTGGATGACCAAGGACGGCATGGCCTGCAACCTCTCGGACGGCATCCAGGTCTGGGACACGTCGCTAGCAGTGCAGGCCCTCGGCGCGGCGGGTGCTGGCGCTGACCCCAAGTTCCACTCGACACTCGTCAGGGCCCATGCCTTCCTGGAGGACCACCAGTTGCTGGAAAATGTACCGGACCAGGAAAAGTGCTACCGATGGCCTCGCAAGGGCGGGTGGCCGTTCAGCACCAGATACCAGGGCTACATGATCAGCGAGTGCACCGGCGAGGGCCTCCGCTCCGTCATGCAGCTTCAAGAGATGAGCCACTTGGATCTAGCCCAGCCGATACCCGAGCAAAGGCTACGCGACGCCGTCGACTGTCTGCTCAACTTGCAGAACGACACAGGTGGCTTCGGAGTCTACGAGAAGCGAACAGGTTCGCCCAAGCTCGCGTGGCTGGAGATGGGCGAGTTTGTGGGCAAGACCATGGTCACATACGACTTTGTCGAGTGCACCACGGCCGCAGTATCCGCCCTTTTGGCTTTTAGCAAGGTGTATCCCGGCTACCGTGCCGCCGATATCGAGACGACGACGGCGCAGGGGCTGTCCTTTATCAAAAAATCGCAAAAGTCCGACGGTGGCTGGTATGGTGCCTGGGGCGTCTCTTTCACCTATGCGGGAATGTTTGCGCTCGAAACCCTAGCCCTCGCGGGAGAGACGTACGCGACCGGTGAGGCGTCGCGTCGCGGATGCGACTTCCTCGTCGACAAGCAAAAGGCTGATGGGGGCTGGGGAGAGTCTTACCTGAGCTTGCAGCGTGAAGAGTACGTTCAGCATCAAGAGTCCCAGGTGGTGCAGACGGCCTGGGTCTGCATGGCGCTGATGCACGCCGCATACCCTGACATGGAGCCTATAAAACGTGGACTCAGATTGATCATGTCTCGGCAGCAATCCAAAGGGCAATGGTACCAAGAGGCACTCGAGGGTGGTGTCGGAGATGGGTGAGTACTTGATTCTTACCCCTGCTCTCTTTGCCGAGGTCGGACGACTAACATGCTCGACAGGGTAATCTCCTATTCCAATTACAAGCTTTACTGGCCAATCCGAGCTTTGGCTGAATACGTGAACAGATTTGGAGACGGGAAGCTGTGAGGAGAATAGGTACCAGTCATGATATTGATGACACTTGAAGTTATGTGGGAAGCCTGAAAGTATATTGTTCATGCTATCTTTGTTGCTGTATCTCATCATCATGCGAGAAATAAAAAAGAAAAAACTTCCAACCCAATTAGCAGGCACAGAGGTCAAGTCAAAGATGATATTGACGATACTGCAGATACTACCTAACTAGGCAACAATCAAAGCAGCCAGTGTCTTTTCGGCCATCCCAGCAGCATCCCACGTCCAGTAAGAATGCTGCATCTTGACCACATCGCTATTTTGACCCGTATTCGAAGCAGCTTTTCTTTCCGAGTCTCTGGCCGCCTGTGCGTCACCATCTCGGAGGTGTAGCTGCTCCCTTGCACGGTACGTAGCCGCTTGGATCTGATCAACCCTCTCCTTGCGAGACGACTCGTATGCCCGTAGTGCTAAAGGAAGCTGTTGTCGGTTCTCGATCAACGATAGCACTGTGGCAATGGCAGTCGCATCCTCGACCGCCTGAGCAACTCCCTGGCCAAGATACGGACTAGTTGGGGGTCACAAGTTAGTTACAGTCAAAACTAAGTACAGGTAGAGGTGTGGGACGAAACTGACAGCATTGCATGACACGCATCCCCGAGAAGAATGGTCGAGCCTTTGACCCAAACGGGCGCTGGGGGATATATGAACATCCGGAAGTTGGGCACATGGGGTGGAGCAAGCGCAATCAATTTGAGAAGCGTTGGATCCCATCCCTGGTAGTCCGCCAGCACGTTCTGCTTGTCCGTCACCGACGTCCATGATTCCTCTGCGTCTCCGTTGTCTGGATGGATGAGAACGACATTGAGCAAGTGGTGGTTATGCACTGGGTAGGCGACCACGTGGCGGGAAGGTCCGTCCCATCGCGTGGCCCACGGCCGTTGGACTAGCTCCCGCAACCTTGGGTCGGATTCCAGCAAGTTCCGAGAGAGGGTGAATCTATACGCGGCCTCGCCTGTGGGCAGCGGTACAACTGCTTCAGGTGGACAAACCTTGGCCTTCAAGGTGGATTTCACACCGTCTGCTGCGATGATCAAGTCAGCCGCCACGCGTTGCCCATCGGAGAGAAGAGCGACGATGGCTTCGATATCAACATCCACAACCCTCGCTCCTAGTCGAATCTCAACATTTTTGAGCTCCCGAGCACGCGCAAGAAGTGCCAATTGCATGTCCCCATGGTGTACAGCGTTCTGCTTCCCTACCGGGTTCGCCGCGGTTTGAGTGATCAATTCCCCAGTGTCCCACTTGGTGATCTCAATGCCGTCCAGGGGGACACATGCAGTGTCATTCGCCTGGAGCACCCCTTCAGCTATTTGACAGCGTCATCAGTCTTTGAGGCAGGCTTGAGTTTAGCAACACGGAGCAGTCTACCTACATTCATACCATTGCCGCGTAGTTGGTGGCAATGCCACTCCCGCACCAACATGAGATAGCTGTGCTTCGGTCAGCGCGCCAAACAGCCAGGGTAAGTACTTCAGCAAAAACAACAACCGCCTACCTCAGAGGTGGACTCAAGAACCAGCACGGAATGCCCGCGGTTCCCAAGTGCGACGGCCGCCGAGAGCCCTCCGATGCCTTTGATCCAAATATTTAGATGTCGATCTCGTTACTTCACTGACCAAAGGTCGAGTCCGCTCACCTGCTCTGTATTGGACTTTGTTAGTCGGTCCGTTATGTTAGAAAAGCAAAAAGTGCGCTCAAGCGCTGTTCGTACCCGACAATAACTATGTTCATAGGGACCCGACAGGTTGGCTTTGCAGTAGACATGGCTGTTATCGCAGCACAAGGAGATAATTAGACTGTGGCCCTCGCAAACACGCAATGATATTGACTGGAGTCGGCCGCATGTAAGGCCGGAGAATGATCAGATATATTCATGGAGTTACTCCGTCTCTTCTGTGCAAAAAGTGCAATGATCCATGTTGTGAATGGGTTGCCAACACGCAACCAGTGTCGTGTCGAGTTAACGAGTAGACCTAACTCGCCTATAACTGCCCCAGACACTTCTCATCAGCAAAAGTGGACAAGACTATCAACACACATCACCTGAGCATGCGATGATGATGCCTTGGCTTTTCCGGGTGTCAGTGCGATTTTACCATTGGTTTTTTTTACAAGGTGTACATCTGAAAGGCCCTAGAATATATAGTTGGTGTTCTTACCAGGTATACTACTATCCTCATAAAGAAGTGGGTCACGGTGTTTACTCAACTACCTACCCGCCAGTCGAATACGCAAACCAACAGATCATGGGTGACTTCGAAAAAAAAAATGACTTTAAAGTAGTCATAGTTGGAGGGTCGGTTGCAGGCCTGGTTCTTGCCCATAGCTTGCACAAGGCCGGGATCGACTACGTCGTTCTTGAAGGTCGCGACCACATCGACCCACAGGTTGGCGCTTCCATCGGCCTTTTCTCAAACGGCTCCCGGATTCTTGATCAGCTTGGCGTTTTCGAAAGTATCCTGGAGTGTACGGAACCTCTGAAATGCTACGACATGCTCACCGGGCAAGGAGATCTAGTACGGCGTGATGATTCCCTGCAATTGATCGAGGCACGGTACGTCATGGGAGCTGTGCAAACACCATGTAATGATTGCTAAGCTGAAATACATCATAGTACGGGCTATCCGGTGACATTTCTTGAGCGGCGGCAGGTCCTCCAGAAGCTCCATCAACTCGCTCCGGACCAGAGCAAGATTCTCACTGGCAAAAAGGTCGTCTCTGTTCGCACCCTACCGGATGGTGTTGAGGTACATTGTGCAGATGGTTCCATTTTCACTGGAGATATAGTGGCTGGAGCCGACGGTGTGTACAGTCGAATCCGCCGTGAGATGTGGCGTCATGCCAAAAGCGATGGCGCCCTCAAACACCTAAATGATGATGAAAAAGGTAAGACACTGATATCTTATACGCAATAAGAGGGAGACATCCGCCGCTAATAGGTCTATAGCCATGTTCGCCGACTACAGGTGTCTTTATGGCATGTCTTCCCCTGTGCCAGGCTTGCAGAAAACGAGCATTTACCGTACTTTCAACAAGGACTGGTCCTTTCTGGTAGTTGTCGGGAAAGACGAGTGCTGCTTCTGGTTTGTATTTGAGAAGCTAAGTAGAACACACAAATTGCCGAATCTGCCGAGATACACAGAATCTGATCAAGCCAAGTTTGTGAAGCCATTTATGAACCGCCATGTCTCCCAGGATGTGACCTTTGAAGCTCTCTGGCATCGAAAGACAGCAGCCACTTTGGCGGCATTGGAGGAGGCCCAATATAGACATTGGACATATGGGCGCTTTGTCTGCCTGGGCGATTCCATACACAAGATGACACCAAACATGTGAGACACCCTAAATCCTCCCCTATCCACCTACAAAACATAATTGTTGACACAAGAGGCAAATAGTGGCCAGGGTGGTAATTGGGCTATAGAGAGCGCCGCCGCTCTGACCAACAGGCTGCACTTAATGATGAGCACAACAAGAACACCATCGTTCGGGCAGATCTGCGACACACTGAGCGACTACGAGCAAAGCCGGCAAGTCCGTACCAAGGAAGTGTGCGCAATGGCCGGCTTCGCCACTCGTCTGGAAGCATTCGACAAGTTCTGGCACAAACTAATGGCGTTGTATGTTGTGCCACGGGCAGGCGACATGCTCGTAGATGTTCATTGCCAGTCGGTCGCGGGAGCACACATGTTAGATTTCCTCCCGCCGCCGGAGCTGTCGCTGAGACAGGACACCATCTTCCAGGCAGTAGAGTTTGACCGAAGAGCGCCTCATGTTTCATGGCGAATCCTTGGTGCTATCCCACTCCTGGCTTTCTGTCTTGCCGCTCTCCCAACTTTGGAACCTACAGGATCTGCCCTATCTACGAATCAAGACACCAAAACAGTACAACTATCTACGCTGTCGTATCTGGGCGACTTCTTCCCGCTCCAAGTCATCGCCCTGGTAGAAAGTGCCCGGCGAGGCAATAGCATGGGAATTGCCGCTTTATGGCCCCTGTTTGGACTTTCAGGGTACTGTGAAGGCACAGGATACGCCTTTCCGGTATACTTCTTCCTCCAGTATATCTTATCCCCGCCGAGTCGGTACGCCGCTGCTGACAACCGCCTCGTGCCCACACATTACGCCAGATCCGCTGTTGCAGCAACTGTAATGGGCTACTTTCTCCTCGTAGCCTATGGCATGGCATGTCAGCAGAACTATGCTTTGTATGCCCATTGGTATTTACTACCTACCTGCGCGGCTGTCCTCCACCCTCTGTTCGCCTCATTTCTCACCACCACTACCTTCAACGACCGAGTTCAAAATCCTCGTGCTGATATGAAGTATCTACTTGTATCTTATGCCATTAGTGGCATTGTCAGTGGCATAACGCATATCTATTCCTCAGCGTTGTCACCGTGGGGCCTGAGCAACATTCTGTCCATCCTAGCTCGGCTACGGCAAGGACCCTTGCTTCTGCAGGAGATCGGACCAAACAAACTTATTAATCGTCATCATGTACTGATGCTAGGGAGCGGGCTGTTCTGGGCCCTTCTCCATTTATGGGACTTGAAAAGTACTGGACGACTCATGGCAGGTTGGTTCAAGGTTATAGGGGCACTCGGCGCTATTCTTATGATGTTCGGACCTGGCACTGCATTGGCCTTGGGTTGGGCATGGAGAGAAGCAGTGTTGGCTCGAAAGACTTCGCCTCACTAAAGAGTTCAATGATGAAAGGTCGAAGACAGTCATCAGTGCTGGCGCATAGATAGTATGAAAGCACAGTAGAATGTCAGGCACTTGAACATTGATGGAAGGAATTCACGACATTCTTTCTCCGCGGCCGCTTGTGGGGTCTGTATGCTGTGCAACCCCCCAACCCCGACTCTCGGGGCGTCAAAACGCACTAATAGTAAGCCAGCGTCCAGAAGAAGAGGGGGGATTGATAATCATCATATTTTATGCAGTCAGAGGGCTCACATCAGCCACGAGAAACCCAGACAAGATGGCTGCCGCTGACAGCGCTTGTAGGCTCCTGTCAGTCCGATCTGATCATTGGTCTTTTTCCTTCAGAGGGCTTCATCGTCTTACTTTCTATAGCCCATCAACACCCTCCTGTTCGCTTCAATCGAACGGCTGCAAGTGTTCATGGAAGAAGCTCGCAGAAATCGGGGAAGTGGCTGCATTGGTCCGTCTGTTCAGGACCCGTCATCGCAGTTTCATGAAGGCTTACGATGGACACAGCGACCAACCATTGCGACAAGGATTTGAAATGGAGATACCAGTGAGATTTGAGGATAGGGATCAAGTGACGGCATCATCTTCAATTATGTATTTTGATGGACTAATATTTTACTTAGGTTAACTTTTTACCATACAAGAATCAAGCTGTGTCCAATACATGGAACTTGATTTTCCGTTGGTGAGGGCGAACCTAGCATATCTAGGTAGGTTTTTTGTTGGTTTTAGACTGCTCCGTCCGGTTCCTACTGCTCTAGAATCTCCTTCACTTCCCCGAAAGCCTTGAGGATCTGGTCCTTGGCTCCAGCCTCATTCCACGCCTTCTTGGTGTCCTCACCCAAAACGCCTTCGTTGACGGCGGCGAACACGTCAGTACCTGGGGCGAACGCGAGCTGGACTTTGGTCGGGGCGACTTTCATCTTCATGACCAGCTCCAGGCTCTCACTGAGATGCTTGTTGGCGCGCTCTCCGCCATGCGAGCCGTAGCTGATGACGGCCACAGGCTTCCCGGGCCACTCGTTGTACAGGTAGTCGATGGCGTTCTTGGTGGCCCCCGACATGCTACCGTTGTACTCGGGAATGACGAAGATGTAGCCCTGGAAGGACGCGATGGCCTCACTCCATTTCTTGGAGTGATCCTTGGTGAACTGCTTCATGGCTGGGACCATGGCAGGCATGACGGGCTCGTCAAAGATTGGCAGGTTGAAGTCGGCGATGGACAGAGGTTGGACCTCTAGCTTGTCTTCCGGGCGTGACTTGATCACCTCATGAACCCATTCTGCAACATCGGTTCCCACACGGGGAGTGCGAGTGCTGCCGGTGATGAGAGCGATTTTGGACATAGTTGCTGATTATGGAATGACTCTGAACACGAGAGAGTGGTGAATGAAAAGGTGTAGGGGATTGCTCTTGCCACTAGCTAAGGGCTATCAGAACAGACAAGGAAACAGACTTAAATACCTCTTACCCTCAAGCGAGGCGGGAAGGCGGGGATCGACCCACCCCTAAGTTAAGCGTGCACGAGGTTGTAAAAGCAACGGACGAGTAAATGGAGCACCGGATAGATGGCAGGCACCCTGCACAGCTGTTATACTATCCCTGTTGTGTGTGTAGTCGAAGGATTGCACTAGCCCTATCTGGTCGGCCCCTTGCGTTGATAACAAATCCTCCCTCGCGTTGATGACAAATGCCCCCATTGGATCGATAACAAAAATACCTTTGTCCGGTTGGTAAGGCGTTTCGAGTTGCCCCGCTATATGAAGGAGAAACGTTTTGGGAACAACGACGGCTATTGTTGCTACGAATCGGCTATTTTGCCAATTCGCTGGAAATGCATGTTAAGTCTGCCTAGTCCAAGGCACCCGTCTCCCGCGCCAAACCAGCAACAATAGCTCATACCCATAGTATGCAAAAGTGCCAATCCTATCACCTTGGCGAGTTCGTAGTATTAATCACAAAAGCTTTCCAAAATCACCACTTGGCTATTATCTGCAAGCTTCGCGAAAGTATTTCCTGGGGTGTACTAGCAAAGTAAAACAGGACATATCTAACGTGGAATGCTGAGACACCGAGCTTCACCCAATTGATATCATCCATTGAACAATGTTGCACATCTCTCTCGGCGAATCCCTCCAGCACCCTGGCATCCGGCTTGCCATCAATTTCATCCTCGCTATTACTGCGATCGCTTTGGTCCGAAGGATTGGGAGCATATGCTTGGCAAAGTATCGACTGCAGGCACTCCCGTTGGTCAATGGGCATGGCCTATTCGAGTCTGGCAAAAGATCGAAAGAAAACTTTTTTCTCAACGCCCAGAGTTTGTTGGATGATGGATACGCAAAGGTCAGTTATTCTAGTTATCTTTTGTAAATGAAGGAACGAATTAAGCTGACTAATTGGCTTCTATAGTCCTCCAAGGCCTTCCGGGTACAGACAGACAACTCGCAGGTGGTGGTATTGGCACCTGAATGTGTAAGCGAGATTCGGAACGACAATCGCTTCGATTTCACTCAGCTTCTAGCAGATGTAAGTTGTTATTCAACGGACACAAAAGCGATGTGAGGACCTGACGATGGAAGTAATTAGGACTTTCTCGGGCACATTCCTGCCTTTACCAACTTTAGTCCGCACAATGGCCTGAACGACATGGCAAAAGAGGTCTTGACAAAAAAGCTTAACCCGTCTCTTGGTAAGCTACGTTCATCGCGCATGAATGGGAGTAAGACTGACTGGTGTGTATCTGGCAAGGCCTTGTTACCAAAGATGTTTCAACCGAGGCAACAGTAGCATTCCTCGACCACTGGACGGATGACAAAGGTATGCATGCATGGGCCCATAGATTTGACAATCACGTTTCCAGCCTAACCGAGTAAAGAATGGCACTCAATCAATATAAAGGGAACTATCCTCGAGATTGTAGCACAGTTATCCTCTCGAGTCTTCCTCGGGCCGGAGCTGTGTCGGAACCCTGCCTGGCTGAGAATCACAGTTGACTACACCACCAACCTGTTTTTCGGGGTCGAGGCACTGAAGAAATGGCATAGCTTTCTCCGTCCTATCGTGTGGCGCTTCGTTCCGGAGGTTCGAAAGGTGCGCCAGCAGATTGAAGAGGCGATACGCCTCATCCAGCCCGTTGTGGATAAGAGGACTGCCGAGTCTAGATCCTCAGCCGCCTCCTCGAATAAGGTGAAGTATAGTGACGCTGTTCAATGGGCTCACGAACTGGCCGGTGGTAGGCCTTATCATCCGGCATTACTACAACTTGGATTCTCATTGGCAGCGATTCATACGACAACCGACCAACTTTGCCAGACTCTTTACGACTTGTGTGCGTACCCGGAGTATATAGAACCTCTTCGACATGAGTTGGTTACCGTTCTGAAGGAGAGCGGCATGACCAAAGCTGGACTGTACAAACTGAAGCTCATGGACAGTTTTATGAAAGAAAGCCAGCGATTGAAGCCCGGAGCTTCGCGTCAGTACCTCACCCCCTGCCCTTTAATGTGAAACTCATTTTCAATTCTAGTCTTAATGCGACGTTTGGTAATGGAGGATGTTACTCTTTCCAACGGCGTCTTTCTACCCCGAGGGATACAAGTTGGCTTCCCATTGCGCTCGCATTTCGACCCAAAAGCCTACCCTGAGCCCGATGTGTTTGATGGATACCGCTTTGTGAAGATGGCAGGTGATCCTGACAGGGAGATGTTGCGCCACTTTGTGTCCACAAGTCCCGAGCATTTGGCTTTTGGTTTTGGGAAACACTCTTGTCCAGGGCGCTTCTTTGCAGCCATTGAAGTCAAGATTGCGCTCTGCCACATCTTGCTCAAGTACGACTTTAAGCTAGCAGAGGGGACCACTCCCACTATCATGAGAATGGGTTGGGCTCTAGTTGCAGACCCTATGGCACAATTCGTTATTAAACGGCGCGAGAGTATCGACGAAGATATTCTTCTTGCCTAGCTCAGATATAGTACTTTACAGCGCTAAAATATAACTATCTAGTGTAATACATAACTCTCTTACATATCATTATATCCAAGTGTTGTGGACCGACTAGACTATATTATATATATAATCAAAGAAGATAGTAGGGTATATTATATAACGATTAACGTGTTCCACTATTAAGTAGGTAGCCCCACCGAACGGGCAGCTTTTCTACGACGCCCCGCCTTCGTAATAAAGCCGCTTCACACTACTATAATTTTTAGTAGTAAGTAGAATATAATAATAACGTTCTTTAAACGCGTTGCTTTCTTTGATATTCTCTAATTCTACTTAGTATATATCAAAGTTATATCTAATTTAGCTATAACGCCTATAGTATTATTTACTATATACTGTTTTTATAGATATTATACTCTTATTAGAGCTACTACTCTCTATTTTAGTAATCTAGTTAGCTATTTAGCTAACTATCTAGAACCTCTCTATTTATATATAGTACTACTTATAAGTTTTTTACTTTATTAATACTTTTATTAATGTCTTAGAACTACCTTATTTTCTCTTATATAAATACAAACTATATTATAAGTAATTTACTAAGATCTCTAACTTAACTACTATATTTACCTTTTGAGGGAGATAGTAAAAGACTCTTACTAGATTTAAATATAGATTAAAATAAGTATAGTTTATAACTATCTCTAGTTTATATATATTATATAGTATTATTTACTTCTATATAGTAGTCTCTTATACTAGTAGAGTATATATATATAATGTTAAATTAAGCTAAAAAAAAAAGATAATAATTATATAAAGATAATAATTATATAAAGATAATAATTATATAAAGAAAGCTTAATATCTAAAAACTCTTTATATATATATTCTTTAGTATAATAGCCTTATAATAGGCCTATCTAAACGCGAGTAGAAAGATTTCTTTACTTATATAGTAGATATAATTATACACTAAAACTAAGATAGTATTACTTAATATATACTTTAATAGTAAGAAGAGTTAAAGATCTAAGCTATTTAGCTAATCTCTAAGAGAACGAATCTATTAATCTCTAATCTATGTTAGAATAATACTAATCTCTAACCTAAGTTAATATTACACTCTAATCTTAATAATCTAAATAATCTATTAATCTCTAATCTAATCTATCTATCTA